AGAGAGAGAGAGAGAGAGGGAGAGGGAGAGGAAAAAGGAGGTGAAACGGGAAATGGGGAGGGAACGCGAAGAATTTTCTGGAAAATTTTTCGGAAAATATTTTATTTCATTTTATTAGAGATGGATGGAAAATTGGATTCGATTAAGTTTTCAATTGACAATTTTCTCACTTCCCCCCTCTCTCACTCTCCCACTCTTTCTTCTTCTATCTCTTTCTTTCTGCTTGAAATTGCGAGTGAGAAAAATTAAAAATGGCGTCGCAGTTGTTAGTTGTCGGTCGTATATCATTTTTTCTTTCGTTTTATTTAAACATTCTTCATCCGGATGATTTTGATAATTCATATCAAACAGAAAAAAAAAATTTTTGCGCGTTTTTTTCCTGTAATAATAATAATAATAATAATAATAATAATGATAGAAATTTGCTTCCGTTCAAATATGTTTCGTTTTCTTTTTTTTTACTACTCAGTTTTACCAACAGCAAAAAAAAAAAAACAAAATTTCAATTTATTTATTTCGTTTTCGTTAAAGTTTTCGTCCTCGTCGTCGTTTTTCCTTTGTTTGTCGTGTAAGAAGAAAATAAAATTAAAAAAAAGACCAGAAGAGACAGAGAGAGGGAGAGGGGAATTTGGGAGACGAGAAGAGACGAGAAGAGACGAGAAGTATGACATAATAATTTCCTTTTTTCGCCATTTTTCCTTTTGTTCGCGATAACGTTTTCCGCTTTCGCTTTTGCAAGGGTCGAAACGAAATACGATTATTATTATTATTACTATTATTATTATTATTATTATTATTTAATGAATTCGTTGTAAGTATTAAGCTCGACTCGATTTTATTATTATTATTATTATCATTATAATTTTTTTCGGGTCGTGCATCCCATTTTTTTCGAAAAAGGAAAGAGAATAATAATAATAATAAAAGAAAATTTCTGCCTCTCTCTCTCTCTTGTAAAATTAATTTTTAAAGGAAAAAATCGGATTTCCGGTGGAGGAGGGGGGAGGAGCGTACGGAGAAAAGTCCCGCGGGAGGACCCCAATTTTTTTTTTTTTTTAAATATTTCTCTTTCGTTCCCTTGGAGATTCCCTCTCGCACCTCTCCTGGAAAAGAGAAAAAAGCCGGGAAAAATTAATTTCTCCCCCTCTCTCTCCTTTTCTCTTCCTCTCTCTCTCACCCTTTTTTCCCTTCTTTTCATTTGACGGTTTGAAAATAATTTGAAAAAAAAAAAAAAAAATTAATAAAATAAATAAATTAAAAAAAAAAAGAAAAGAAAAGAAAAGGAACCAACCAAAGGAACGAAAATCTCCGATTTAAAAAAAAAAAAAGGAAAAATAAAAAGGAATAAAAAGGAATAAGAAGAAAAAAAAGCAGAAGAAAAATTTTTATTCCTTTTTCTCTTCATCCGTTTTGTTATCCTCCCACGAAGAGGAAAATAAAAAAAAAAAAAGAGGCTAACCTAACCTACGCAATTGACGTCATTCGTATCGATCTCGAATTCGTGACGTCAGTGAAAATTTGCTACGTTGATGTGGGAAGAGAGAGAGAGAGAGAGAGGGAAAAGTACGCGTGGGCGATCGGGAATATGCATAAAGAGTGAGAGAGAGATAGAAAATTTTTTATTCTAGAAAGGGAAATTGTACCGGAAGGAAATTCAATTTCGGTCCTTTATCTACTTTTTTATTTTTTTATGGATCGGATAAATAAAAAGCAGAGAAGATTCGGGATGTGAATTCAAAAAAAAAGGTTTTTTGGGGAGGGAGGGAGGGGGAGGAGTGAGGTATGGTTGGGGGTTAAGGGTCGTCGTAAAGGCGGAAAAAATGAACAAACGATAAAAAAAAAGCGAAAATTTTTAAAAGTCTCTCGATTGTTAACCGGAGGCATCTCGTGATAACACTCAGGGTTCAACTTCCGGTTTCGAAAAATTTTTTATCAATAATAATAATAATAATAATAAGTACGTAGTTATAATCACGTGATTGATATCGCGATAATGACGTCAAATTGTTTTTTATTAGGAAAATTTTTTTTTTAAACGAATTTTTCGCGAGGAAGCGAAATAAATTTTTTTTTTTTTTTTTTTGTGGAACGAACTGGAGAAAATGGAATTTAATTCCCCCCCCTTTGCCTCCCCGCCCTCTACCTCCGTGGACCACTTTTCGAAAAATTTATGAATGAAAAAAGTAGGTAAAATTTTTTTTTATTATTGAAAAGATCGTTGAGGCGTTCAAATTTATTCGCCGTCGGAGTGGAAAAAAAATTAAAAAAAAAAAATTTACGACCCGAGTTCGAAGATAGCAGAAGAAATATTTTATTATGAGTCGACTCGAGTCGAGAATCGAATTCGATTTCGATAAAAAAAAAAAAGCGGGGGAAGGAGAGGGAAGGGGCATAATCGAAAGGTATGGAAAGAATCGTTCGATGAAAGTGAGAAAAAAAATTTTCTTTCGTTTGTTTGTTTTCCTACACCCCCCCCCCATCCGTTACGAGTTTTTTTTTTTCGTGGCACTAGATCGATGGCATCAAATCCATTTTTTTTTTCTGCTACGGCGTCGTTGTTGTCGTCACGTGATCCGGCATCGTTAACAAATGAAACTTTTCTTTTTAATTTATTTAAAAAATAAATAAATAAAATCATAAAAAAAAAATTGTGGGGAGATGGGGGGTGGAGGAGTGGAAAATGGAAAATTTTTTTTTTTATAGCTCGTTATTAAATTTATATAGTTTTTCGTTTCCATGTTTTTTTTTTTTTAATTGGGGGGATGAAAAATTTGTTTTGAAAGGAAAGTAAAAAAAGCAAAGCGGGAACAGCCAGAGGTCGTCGTGCGAATCCATAAAAAAGAAAATTTATACGAATTTTAATGCCTTTTTTTTTTCGTTTGTTTCGTTTGTTGGTTTTTATGTGTCGTCGTCATTTGTTTTTGTGTTTGTTTGTTTGCTTGCATCGGTTCGCAGAACGTTTTAGGTAAATTTTTCTTTTTGTTTTGTTTTGTTTACTTTTTTGTTTTTTTTTTTTTTTGGTTTTTCATTTTTTCATTGTCTTTTTTTTTAAACGCTTTTTATCTGATATAAATGTTTGTTTGTTTGTTTTGTGGGTTTGTTTTTTAATCTCTGTTGCCCCCCTTTTTTCTATTTTTTTTCTCTTTTCTCTCTCTCTCTCTCTCTGTCCTTTGTTTAGTTTTTATTTTTTTCTGCGATTTTGGTAAAATGGAGAGGGAATGAAAATTATTATTATTATTCTTGTGGGTTTCGAGTGCGAAAAAATGAAAATTTTCAAAATCCCTTTGATTGTGGGAAAATTATTATTATTATTAGTTCTCTTTCTACTTCCGGTTGGAAAAATCGTGACGCGAGCAATCCGACGGAGAAAATTGTTGTCGGAAAACGCAAATATATTCGCCACGGCTCGTCGTTTCCTTCGGACCTCATACATCTCTCTCTCTCTTTCTCTCTCTCTTTTCACTAGGACAAGGTTGAGAAGAAGAGAGAGAGAGTGAGAGGGAGGGAGGGAGGGAGGGAGGGAGAAAAGGAGGAAAGGTGTATAGTAGATGTTACGAATTACGTAACTCATAATTTCGTTAATCGATTCATGTTAATTAATCCTCTGTGTTTCTCTTTCTCTCTCTCTCTCTCTTTCTCTCTTTCTCTTTCTTTCCGTTTTTTTTTTTTTTTTGTTCACGAATCTCGATGATGATGATAATAATAAATTGTTGATGTTGTTGTTGTTGCTGTTTACGGTTGTTTTTTAATTAATTTCGTTTTATTATTATTATTATTATTTTTAAAACAATAATAATAATAATAATCCAGTTTACAATCGATAGTTTTTTGTCATCATCATCATTATTATTATTATTATTAATTGATTTCACAACGTTAAGAAAGCTTTAAATGGCGGTGAGTGACGACGACGATGACGATGACTAAAGTCTAATTACTCAAAATTAAAGTTTTGATCGTCGTAAAAGGACGTTAAAAAAAAAAAAAAAAAAAAAAAAAACATGGCCGCCGACGGGAAAGAAATCGAAAGTTTTTTTTTCTGGAACAAGGGGAAAAAGGAGTTGTGGAGGAGGGAGGAAGGGAGGGAAAAAAAGTTTTGAATGATTCCAATCATTCCATTCATTATTTAATCGAGATGAAAGTATCGATTCTGGAAATCATTTGTTTTTTTTTTTTTTTTTTTTGAATTTTCTTCTCCCACGTCGATAAAGATAATGATGACGTAAAACATCGACGAACGCGTCAATACTATTATTATTATTATTATGATTACGTACATGGAATATTCCTGTCGATTTAAAAAAAAAAAAAAAAACCGCAAATTTAGGCGGCGGTGGCGGCGGTAAATTCGATTCAATTTGTTCGTTTTTTTTTTTTTTTGTCGAAACAAAAAGATTAGTATTCGTGGTTTTAGAATTTGTTTTTTTTTTTTTTTTCTACGGAATCTTCTCTTTCTCTCTCTCTCTCTCTCTCTTTTCGACGAGTCCAGTCGACGACGACGACGGGGAGTTTTTACGATGGACAAAACAAATAAAAATTTTTTTTTTTTTTTTCAATTTCAATATGGCCGTCCGTGAGACTTGAGGGGTTGTCATCACGATGTCGTCACGACGGTTGTTGTTGCCTCTTCGTCCGTCGCACGTTTCCTCCCCCAGGGAGGTAAAACAACAACAAACGACAAATTCTTAAATGTCATTTAAATTCTTTAAATGCTATCCAAATTATTTTTGTCCGATGCCTTTTTTTTTCATAATCATTCCTTTTCTCTCTCTCTCTCTCTCTCTCTCTCTCTCTCTCTTTCTCTCTCTCTCTCTCTACCACTTCTCCTTCGTCTGCTGTCAAATGGCAAATTTTATTTTTTGTTTTCTACGAAAACTCGTAGGAAACAAACTCGACGTGCTATTCAATCAATTTTCGTCGTCGTCGTGTTTGTTGTTGTTGTTGTTGTGATGATGATTACGTAACAATCGTTCTCTCTCTCTCTCTCTTTTTTGTTTTTTAATTGGTAACTTTTGAAGGATGTCGAAAAAAAAAGAAAAAAAAAATGCATCAAAGGTGCACATCCGATTTGATGATATCGATCATTGACGTGAAATCGAATCCGAGGATTGATTATTCATCATCAAAGGCGGTGGATGTGGCGGTGACGTTGACGGTGACGGTGGCGGTGGCGACGGCGACGGCGTTGAATTCTTTTTTTTTTTTTTTTTCCTTTGTGTTTGAGATTCGAGAAAGTTAACCGACCCGATCTAAGAACTCTCGTTTAACCCTGACCCATTTTATTATTCGATTTGAAAAATAAAAAAATCCATTGTTTGTTTGTTTGTTTGTTTGTTTGTTCGCGTTTGCGTTTGATGTGATTGATATATACGTCGTAGCAAGAAGAATTCGAACAACAACGTCAGGTGTCAGAATTTTTTTAAAACGTGGCTATAAAAACAAAAAAAAATTGTAAAAGTAATAATAATAATAATAATGACGTCGTTATTAATTTTTTACCGTAATAAAAAAAAAAAGGAGAGAAAGGGAAAAAGAGAGAGAGAGAGAATAATAAAATTAACCGCAAAACGTTCAGGTGTGTGTGTGTTGTTTCAAGGAAAAACCCGAAATTATATTATCCAGTGCAACCGTTGCAGGTGTTTTAAAAAATTTTTAATTCTCTCTCTCTCTCTCTATTCCCCCCTCTCTCTCTCTTTCTTTCTCTATTTATCCCCCTTTTCAAACTTTGACGACTCATTTAAAGTTTAAACTCTTTTAGAAGCCGAAACGGACAAGGTAAAAGAAGAAACAAAACATTTATCATCGTCGTTGTAAATAACAAACCATCATCATCATCATCAATCACTTTGCATGGTTAGTCAGACAAAGAGAGAAAGAAATAGAGAGAGAGAGAGAAGTTTAAATATTTTTGCGCGTCGTATCGATTTGTCGAAACGATGGGTCGAACAGGTGGAAAAACGTTACAAAAAAAAAAAAAAAAAGTGCAATCAAACAAACAATCGATTTGTTGAAAATCATTGCAAATAATGATGGCGACGACGACGAGAGAGAGAGAGAGAATGAGAATGAGAATGAGAGAAAGAGAGAGAGAAACGTTCGCTTTATCTTAATTGTATCGCGTTTTGGGTTTGAATTCTTTTACGTAATGATGACCACCAATTTTTTAAAATTGATTTTTATTGTAATTGATTATGTGTCACGTCACGTCACGTCACGACACGTCACGACGTTCGGTCACATTCGACGTTTTCCCTTCCGACTACTACTACCAACTCCTAAAATCTTCTGCTACGTCAAAGGGCTCGAAAAAAAGAAGTTTGGGGCACCGTCACGCATTCGGTCACTACCCGACTATTGATACTATTATCATTATTATTATTTTGTTTTTTTGTCTGTAAATTCCTCAACGCCATATTAAAAAAAAAAAGGGAAAATTTCAACCTTGATACGCGATGATGATAATGATAATATAACGAAACGAACGTCAGGTTTTTTCTCGTTGTTGTTGTTGTTGTTTTTTCGTGAAAGCAGAAGACAAAAAAAAAAAAAGAAGGTGAAAACAAATTAACTTGATTTACTTAATAGTTAAAAATTTTATTTGTTGACGTTATCATCATCATCATCGTTATTATTATTATTACTAAAAATTATTATTAATGTTATGTACGAAACAACGCAAAAAAAAAAAAATGGCGAAGGTTTCATTTATGAAAATAAATAAATAAATTTATTCCTTGCGTTGCGGATATCAGGATTTTTTCAGTGACCTGAAATTTCAATGATCTGCTGACACGACGATCGTCGTGGTGGGTGGTCGAAAGGAAATCACAGTAGAGAAGAGAGAAAGAGAGAGAGAGAGAGAGAGAGAGAGAGGGGGGGGGGGAAATTGAAAAAATGAAACGAAAAAAAAAAAGTTTTGGGTTGTTTTGCCTCCGTGATAAGGGAAGGGGAGAAAGGAGGAGATAAGGGGAGTGGAGGGGAGTGGCTTTGGACGTAGTGATGATGATGATGATGATGATGATGATTTCTTTTCGAAAATGTTTTTCCTCGTTTTGAACTTTGAAACGTGACAAATAATTTAATTGTTTGGATTTATTTATTTGTTTAACGAAGGCAAATTTAATTAATTAATAAAAATATAAAAAAATTTTTTTTTTTTTTTTTTTTTTTTTTAATTTCGGTGTCAAAAGTTTACGAATTTATTTTTATTTTGATCGATCGATGAATCGATTCATCGATCGATGTATCGATCCAACGAGTTTTTTAATTCGTTCGAGTTTCACATCGTTTATTTTTACAAATAATAATAATAAAAAGCGTTCGGATTTGAAAAAAAAAAAAAAATAAGTAAAGGAATAAAATATGTACGGAAAACGAAAATCGATGATAATGATAATGATAATAATGATGATGATGATGATGATGATGATGACCTTTGTGCCATTGAACGATGACGACAAAATTTCATGCGTAATTTTTTTTTTTTATTCTCGTTCGAAATCGACGAACGCCACAAACAAACGGAAACGTTGGTTCGGAAAAATACGAACGGATGAGAAAACGCGTTCGAGAATTGTTTTGTTTTTGTTGTTGTCGTGGTTGTTGTTGTTCCTGTTGACAAATTTTAAAAATCTGAATTTCGTTCGTGCGTTCGTTCGAGTGAAAATTTTCCTACTTCAAAAAAAAAAAAAAAAAAAAAAAGAAAAAGGATGAAAAAGGAAGGAAAGCATCTCGTATAAATCTTAAAATTCTGCTGCCACGCCAAAGTAATAAATAATTTTTAAAAGCTTTTCTCTCATTTTTTTCTTTTCTTTTTTCTATTTCGCAATAGATATTTTTTCGAAAAGTGACACGTATAAGGCACACGTACGAGGCATTTTTTTTTCATTTTCGACCTCTTTCGAAAGAGAGAGAAAGAGAGAGTGGGGGGAGGAGTGAAAGAGAGAGAGAGAAAGAAAGATGTGCGAATCAAATCCGTTTCCGCTTTCACGATTACTACTACTATCCTTTTTCGCAAATTTGCAAATTCGCAAAAAAATTAAATTAAATTTTTTGTTTCTAATCAATTATGCCACGATGAAAAATAATCATCACGTACGTTATCATCATTTTTCAATGAGTTCGTTGACCTTTTTCTAAAAATTATTGCCACTACGAAAATAATAATAATAATAATAATTATTATTATTCGTTTATTTAGCAAATATCTGAATTTTATTCGATCGTTTAAAATTGTGCCACGACGAAAATACAAAAAAATGCGGGGAGAAAAATTTTTTTTTTTATTTGGGGAGGGGGTTTTTCTTTTTGCCTCCCCTCCCGTCGGGGAACTACCTGAAAGGCTTATCCCTTATTATTATTATTATTTGTTTACGTTTTTTTAATTATTTTTATTTGTCGTCACGTTTGATTACTTTTTTTTTTTTAAATGTCATCAATTTTTACGACGACGTGTAGTAGAAGAGATAATCATCCGAAAAAAATTTAATAATAATAATAATAATAATAATGATGATGATGATGATGATGATGATGATGATGATGATGATGATGATGATGAGGAGGAGGATGATGATGATGATGATTTTTTAAAAAGGGAAATTAATCGTTTTTTAAACGACGTTTTTACTTCTTGTATGCCCGATTCAAATCATTTCCTTTCGAAAATGGGGGGGGGGGGAATGATGAAAAAAATAATAATAATAATTGTCGGAAATGGGGGAAGTATTTCGTCGCACGTTTATAAAAATCAAAAAAAATTTTGAAAGGGAGTAAAAGTTGAAAGAAAAAAAAATGAAAAAAAAAAAAACTCTAGCAAAACTACTTTTTATTATTATTATTATGAATTGTATAATAATAATATTATTATCTGCAAAACGTACATGGCGGAAACGTGGCAGGCAATAGATACGTAATCTACCGTCATCGTACCCGTTAATTCGGCCTTCCCCCCATTTTTCATTTTTCAAAAAAAAAAAAAAAAAAACTAGTTTTTGATTAAAAAATTTCCCTTTGGGAGTTTTGGTTTTTATCAGTAAACCGTCGTTTCCGGGCCGTTGACTCCCCGTCGGTGATTATGCACTTTTTTCCTTCTTTCTTTTTTTTTTTTTTTTGTTCTTTGTTGTGTAAATACCGTACCTGACACTCCGTTCGCCCACTTAAATTTCTAAGAAAATTTTTACTCTCTGGAAGAAGGTTGCTGATGGATGATGATGCCACGGCACAAAGGCGTCGTCGACGTTTTTTAGAAAAAAAAAAAAAAAAAGAATAATGAAGTATCTTTTTTCTTATTCGTTCTCTTAAGATTTCGTTTGTTTTCCGGATTGATTGATTGACTGATTGATTGACTGACGGGAATTGCTACCACTCGACACCTTTTTATTCTTTGGCGGAAGCGGAGGAGGAAAAGGTGAAAAAGGAAAGATCCTGTCAACGTCAAACCGTAAAAACGGATCAAGTGCATAATTAAAAGGTACCGTGTTCGCGAACGGGGTTTATGACGTCGACAAAATCCGAAATCCCCTCAACCTCCCCACCCCCCAAAAAAATAACTAAACGATTTTTATTGATTTGTGTATCTTTTTTTAAAAATTTTTAAATCATTTTCGACGAACGCCGAAAAATCTAACAAAAAAAAAAAAAAAAAAAAAAAAAAATGTCACGGACGCCTCCTGCCCCCTGCCCTCCTACCCCACCCCTAAAGCGATTAATTAAATCTCACGCCGCGTAAAAATAATAATAATAATAATAATAAATTTTAATAAATTAACAATTAATTATTATAAAAGCGCGACGTATTTTTTATATAAATAAATATATCTTCGAGCGTTTTTTTGCCAAAGTTCGACAAAAACCGAACGCTTTTGCGACATTTTGAATTTCATTAATTTACCGTTACATTGTTTTCTTTTTTTTTTTTTTTTGTTTTTATTTACGAATGCGCGACGACGACGACGATGATGATGATGATGATGACGATTGTTGTTGAACTTTGTCGGTCGATTTGTTGCATAAAAAAAATTCGATGGGTGTAGTAGGCGTGAGTTTTTCTCTCTCATATCGTGAGAAGAACTTGATGAGTGTGGTTTATCTGGGTTAAGGTTTTTGACAAATAGACCGTGAAAACGATGATGAAGAAGAAAAAGAAGAAGAAGGAGAAGAAGGTAACCAAATAATAATAATAATAACGTGTGTCACGCACGAAACCGACGACAAAGGCGTTCGATCGCGCCAAAAAAAATTAAAAACGATAAACAAATTAAATTTT